AGCTGAGGAGGATGAGGTAACTGGTAGATGGTAGTGATGGCCATCTGACACCAAGGCCTCGATACATGATTCAAGCTCGGAGAGAGCTCTTCTGCGAACCACTGCATTGAGGCTTGTATTGTTGCTGAAAAGACATGTCTGACGCAGAAATGGTTGGCCTGAGTGACTCCCATGACCAGTTCAGACCGTCGGTACGGTGTCACGACGCGAGATCTCACTGCACACGTCAGCAGCTGCATAGGCGTAGGGGTACTATAAAGCCACCCAAGATGATGCGCAACATGTGGATTTGTCGGCGTAGTAGGTGTGTGCGTAGTTGCTGTCAGTATGATCATTGCTGCTGGTGTGTGATCACCATGGAGCCAGCTAGGAAGAGACCCCATTTTCCAATGTGGGAACACATTCAGCTGATCGGTCCAAAGACAGTGGAGAAAATTTTGTTCTTGAATAAAAATGATTGATTTTCCATCCCTTGTATTTATTCACACCCTGTCCTAGTTACATACACACATATTACCATCCTAGCACATCCTCTGTTTCCCCAAGCACGCCTTCTCCCACCTACTACACTACATACATTCATAGACTCGACCGACTGACCAATCAATCTTTACAAACGTTTTCACATAATTCACACAAAGCCTAGTTACACCCATCACATAATTCAGACAATGTTCTGCTGCATACTATTTCGCCACCAGATGGCACTAAACCGAACCTTTGAATGAATGAACCAATACTCGATACATATGATGAAGTGGTTCGATACAGGTGTCAGGGTGTCAGTTGGACATCCCTAGTAGATGGAGGAGACCCAAAGATATGTGGTGTCAGAGGTCTTTTAGTAGCTGAAAGGTTTCAATAAAAAGATCCAAAGTGTTGTGGCAGTAGTCCGCAATGTACTGGCACTGGAGAAGCCTCTGCCTGAGTCTTAAGTAGGATGTGGCTGATAGGTAAGCGGTCTCAGCTGTGTAAGTCAGCACAGGTGTGTGCCACACCTGAAACAGATTGCCTGCAGAAAGGAGAAAGAGAGAGAGAGAGAGAGAGAGAGAGAGAGGCAGGTGGAGCAGAGCAAACCTGACATTGTTCATATCAATTAGCCATTAGCTTAACAAGCTTGCTATGGTTAACAGACCAGCGGTGGATGACGGACTGCACACAAAGCTTAAATTATTGCATCTCTGCAGTTCTGACTTTTTATTCTCATAGATTTTATTGCGCCTATGGCAATAAGCTTAAGTGTTGTCAACTTGAGTAATATGTTTGTCTTCTTGCTATGCAAGCATAAATTGCTTGAACTGTAGTGTGGTGAAGGGGTGAGCTGGATTTATAACACAAGACCAAATGAGAGCATCATAATGAAATGAAGACCAGCACAGTAATTTGATTAATCACCCAGTTCTACCCAAATCCTTACCATAACCTAAATCTGATTCAAACCTGAAAAGTAAATTAAGTCTTAACACTCAACCAGCCTTTGAAATTGCATCAAAAACTGAGGACCAGCCAAATATTCTCACTTCGCCAATATGGCCTCACGCTCACAGTATAAATCTGAAACTGGTCCTCACAATGCTGGCCATGTCTGGCCACTTGTCAAATGTAGCCTACATGTCATAGCATCATAATAAAATGAAGACCAGCACAGTAATTGTATTAATCACCCAGTTCTACCCAAATCCGTATCCAACACAGACTAGCAATGTCAGGTTTGCTCAGCCGCTCTGGCCTCCCTCACCTACTGTCTCTTGCCCAATTACTCTTATCACGTTCACCTGTCCCTCACTCCCTTATCACCAGCTGCACTTGATTAGGTTACTCACTATATTACCCGGTTTCACTCCTCAGTCACTTGCCAGTTCTTTCTAGTCTCTAGGCCAACTTTACTCTCTCTCCTCCCAGGCAGGTCAATGCACAGTCACCTATCTGTTCTACTATTGCCTTCATCTCTCTGTCTCAACCTTCAGTAATCACCATCACCGTCGACCAGCCCAGGAGTGACCCCACCTACGCAGCTCGGTCCAGCTCTCCATCTCCTCGCCTCCTGCGGTTGGTCAAACACCCGGCTACTTCTCATCTACAGGACTACATACTATTTCCCTCTGTGTATTGTTACTCCCTTCATCACTGTATATAATAAATCACTGCTTGCACCGAAGTCGGCTACCTGGGTCCGCCTCTTTCTCGTTCGCACACTGACTGGTGCGAACGACACCTAACAAGCAACATAAAGAATGGACTAAACTGTCTATGCAAACACTGCAGCAGTATGAACTGTGGTGTGTTCATTTATTGCTGCACTGTTGCTGTGCATTTGGAAAGTAATGTGACTGCTTAGGAGAAAAGTGAAGGTACCTGACCTTGTCTATCACCTAATTTGCACTGGACCTGACCCCAATTCCTTTCCCTGCAATGTGCCCTGGTTTTTCTTATCCGGCCAACTTAGCGAAGTTGCCATTTTCATCAGGGTTTTTTTTTAATCACCCTTAGTCTGCCCCCTCCCCTGGAACCACTTTGCCTTGGTAGACTCTACCAGGGGCTAACTGCCCACACAACACAGCTCCCAGCATCACTGGGACACACAAACCCTCCACCACGTTAAGGTGGCAATTCATATAAGTGCAGTCGATTCACAAGGAAGTTAGAAGCTTACAAAGTCAAACACTAGTGGATGTGAGATATTGGGGCCTGTCAGCTTCCGACATAATTCCTGTTTTTTGCAGGACATGCAACAATGGTCCTGATCCGGATTAGAAACAGGGACACTACAGTCGAGTCTTTTTATTTCTGGCTTTTCTCTGGTGAAGTGGAGGCCTGTAAAGATGAGTCAAATCAAATCAATTCAAATTTTATTTGTATAGCGCCAAATCATGAAAAAAGTCATCTCAAGACTACAAAGTAAGGTCTAGACCTTACTATTATCACTATTATTATAGAGGAAAACCCAACAAATCCCCCTTGAGCAAACACTTGGCAACAGTGGGAAGGAAAAACTCCCTTTAACAGAAGAAACCACCGACAGACCCTGGCTCTTAGTGAGCGGCCTTCTGCCTCGACCAGTTGGGGTGAGTGGATGAGGAAGGATGAGGAGGGAGAAAAGAAAAGAAAAGCAAGGAGACACAACAAACAATCAAACACTGGTCATGTTGATGTGGCTGGTGACTGCTCATCAGAGACATAGAGCTCCAGAGCCAGGGCTACCTGCCAAAAGGTACAGGGAGAGAGAGAGAGGACACACTACGGAAGAGAGGAGACAAAGTTAGCGATGTGTAATGGTGGCATATAGATGCATAGAGAGAGAGGAATGGAGAGGAGAGGAGAGGGGAGGGGAGGAGAGGAGAGAAATTCAGACTATCATGGCCCCCCAGCAGCCTAGGCCTATAGCAGCATAACTAAGGGGAAGGCTGAGGGTCACCTGATCCAACCCTAACTATAAGCTTTATCAAAAAGGAAAGTCTTAAGTCTACTCTTAAAGGTAGAGAGGGTGTCCGCCTCCTGAACTGAGACTGGGAGTTGGTTTCATAGGAGAGGAGCTTGATAGCTAAAGGCTCTGCCTCCCATTCTACTTCTGTGGATTCTAGGAACCACAAGTAGACCTGTATTCTGAGAGCGAAGGCTTTATGAGGTCTTTAAGATATGATGGAGCCTTGTCATTAAGGGCTTTATATGTTAGGAGAAGGATTTTAAATTCTATTTTGGATTTTACAGGGAGCCAGTTGAGAGTAGCTAATATGGGAGAGATATGATCTCTCTTGCTGGTTCTTGTCAGTACTCTGGCTGCGGCGTTAACTGGAGGCTTTTTATGCAATGATTGGAATGTCCTGATAGTAAAGAGTTACAGTAGTCCAGCCTGGAAGTAACAAATGCATGGACCAGTTTTTCAGCAACACTGTGAAGCAGGATGCTCTTGATTTTTGCAATATTGCGCAGGTGAAAGAAGGCAGTTCTAGAGACTTGGTTTATGTGTGATATTACCATGTCCTGATCAAAAATGACTCCAAGGTTCCTCACAGTAGTACTGGAGGCCAGCGCTACATCATCTAAAGTAACTATATGATTAGACAGCAGATTTCTAAGGTTTTCAGGCCCAAGCACAATGACTTCAGTTTTGTCAGAGTTTAGAAGTAGGAAGTTACAGTAGTGAGGGCCATCTGTCACCGAGGCCTTGATACATGATTCGAGCTTAGAGAGGGATCTTCTAGCAGTTCCCTGCAGTTCGCTGACGGGCAAACAGGTCAGTGGACGATGCAGTGAATATGGCACTGCATTACATCCTGCAACACCTTGACTTCCCAGGGACCTATGCACAGGCCCTCTTTGTGGATATTTAGCACCATCATCCCGGGCATCCTCCACTCCAAACTGAGTGGAGGATGTTCACTGTGCCTGCCCCTACCTGTCAGTGGATTACTAGCTTTCTGACAGACATGAAGCAGCAGGTGAGGCTGGGGAAAACCACATCCAGCACCCAGACTGGACTGCAGAAAACGTCATTGGTGCAAGCCTGCCCTCCATGGAAGACCTGTACACCTCACGGGTCAATAAGCACTGGCACACCTCAAGTGGACGTCCAACATCAGGACTATCATCAAGAAGCCACAGCAGAGGATGTACTTCCTGCACCAGCTCAGGAAGTTCGACCTGCCCCAGGAGCTGCTGATGCAGTTCTATAGAGGAATCACTGAGTCTGTTCTCTGCAGCTCCATCACTGTCTGGTTTTTCTCAGGTTCTAAACAGGACAAGAACAGACTTCAGCGGACAGTCAGGACTGAAGAAAAGGTCATTGGTGCAAGCCTGCCCTCCATGGAGGAGTTGTACGCCTCACGGGTCAAAAAGAGGGCGGAGAGGATCACTGCAGACCCCTCACACCCGGGACATAATCCGCTAGAACTCCTCCCCTCTGGACAGTGTGACAGGTCACTGTAACACTTGACCCACGACAGTATGACTGGACAATAATCCTCAGTGCAATACCTGTAAATATACATTGTACAGATTATACAGATCCACACAGGTCTTTATTTTTAAGTATTTTTATTTCTACTTATCTCATTTCAATGCGCATTCCTTTGTCTGTCTGCATTGTTTACTGCCTGTTTATACTGCTTATTTTGTATTGTTTGCACTGTTTGTTGCTTGTTAATACTGCCTATTTTGTTATATTACACAGCCTTATGCTGGTTTACTGCTTACTTGCCCTTTGCATGGGGATATATACACATACACATTGAGAGCCGATGTACCAGAGTCAAATTCCTCGTGTGTCTGACACACCTGGCCAGTAAAGCTGATTATGATTCTGATTCTGAGATTCTGAACTTGTCCTTACCACCACAGTTTTCACTCCTTTTACATCAGTTCTTCACTGAATGGTTGACAGGTTTGTGCTCTTCCTGAAAATAAAACTATAGAAGCACACGGATTCACAGGAGAGCTGCCGAGTGCCAACCATCTGCCACACAGGCTCCTGTGTGCACAGTATTAGGCAGTTGGTCATAATATTATGGCTTATCAGTGTGTATGTCTAGTCACTGACCATGAGAGCTCACACTTACCTCAGATGACTGAATCCAGCTTTTCTAATTCACAACTCAGGCGAGTTTTGAGGAACTGAAATAATATAACCTCAGTTGGCATTAGAAAATACAGCATTGCTCATTGAATCTGTTTAGTGGGGTAAAAATGCAGAAATAGAAATACAAGTGTCTGATCAAATGACTGAAGATGTTAGATGAGTGTTTTGAAAATTTGAGGTTGTGTGTTTGACATTTTGAAGTCTAATTTCCAAAGGACTTAAAGGAAAGACTGTTCAAGCGGTTCTGACGAAATACAGCCCCATTTCAACAGAACTTTGGACACTAAATAAAAACAGCAGTGCTCAGATGGGACATTATTTGGGTGGCTGTGGCTCACGAGGTAGGGCAGTCGTCTCCTGACCAGCAAGTTGGTGGTTCGACTCCCGGTCTCCCCGCATGCCTAAGTGTCCCTGAGCAAGACACTGAACCCCGAATTGCTCCCGGTGGCTTGATTAGCACTGTTGCGTGGCAGCTGTCGTCATCGGTGTGTGAATGTTGTGTGTGAATGGGTGAATGGTGTATCATCTCTGTAAAGCGCTTTGGCCAGTGTAACACACTGTGGAAATGCGCTATATAAATACAGTCCATTTACCATTATGAGTATCCCAGATCTGCTTGGGTCCTCTCCATGAGGGCTGCAGTTGAGGGGGGCAAAGTCAGCACCTGATCTCTGTGGCATTTCCAGTGCTGTGCAGCACTAGGCCAGTTTGTGACACCTCATGAGTGCACTGATCTTCCATCCACTTATAATCATGGACAAGGTTCTAATCACTAGCTACAACCAGAAAGGTTAAATGGTTATTATCAGCTCAGAGAAACTATTAATCTACTATAAAAAATGTATTAGTTAATGCACTGGATATGGTTCAATAAGAGAAAATGCTCTTGGAATTAAGTTAATGTCAGGGATGGCCACTAAAGCTACCTCCAATGTTCATGCCGGACTCAATATAAGGCCAGGCGATATACTAGAGGGGCAGATAGGGGAAAAAAATGACCCCTAGGGGGTGTAGCACCTGGCAGTAGATTTATAGCACAGTCATATGGTCTATGTGGAGGAAGTGAAGTGACAAGGTTTAATTGAACACTTGACTTAAATCATGATATTCAGGTGGAACCTTATCTAGGTCTGGGATAGCTTCTACGAACCCTGCCTTCACAATCTGTTGTTGGACTGCAGAGTGTAGACAAGTATTTGCACAATGCGCCGACCACTCAACCACTCGCCCTGTCTCCCAATTTATCCTGACCCCGTGTTTCGCCAGCCAAGGATACCCTAATACCATGAAATGATGTGGTGACCGTATGACCGGAAACTGTATCGTTTCTACATGATTGTCTATGGTCAGAGTGAGTGTGACTACAGACTGTGTAGTCACATGGTGCAAAAACTTGTAATTCAGAGAATGAACCACAACAACAGGATCAATAGTACAGAGAGGTATGTTGTTTTATGTATAAATGCTGGATCCATGAAACAGGCGTCTGACCCGGAGTCAACGAATACTGGTACTGTAATATCATACGAACCAACAGCGAGCATAGCCTGTACAATCGGGCGAGAGGGGGTTGTTCCTGTAATAGTGCGGCTCAGGAGCAGCAGCCATGCGCGGAAAGCTATGGTGTAATCGAGGGTAGACTGGGATCCTTGTGACAGCGACATCACCGAAGGGAAAGTGGCAGAGTCATAGCAGGACGGATCAAACAACCGGGTGAGTTCATCTCCAAACATAGCGAAAGTATTACAGCAGGTCGTTCTGGCTGTCCATTCTGCTGTGGCCCACTGTCTAGCTCTTCCCGTTAGTAGTGACAGGAAGTAGGCCACTTTTGCCTGTTTGGTGGGGAATGCTGATGGCTGCATCTCGAACAGAATTGCACACTGTGTGAGAAATGCCTTGCTTTCTCCCTTGTCTCCTCCGTACTATTCTGGCGGAGATAGTCTGGGCTCCTGTACCGCCTGAGGCATGAATGCACCTGCTCCGGCAGCAGTGTGGCTGTCCTCCTCCTGGCCTAACCTGCGCAGATTGGTTTGGATCGGGCCCAGGGCCACTCCCTGGATGGCTAAGGCCTGCTCCATGCGCTGTCTCCACTCAGTGTCCTGCTCGTTGGCTGAGTCCATGTTGGCCAGATTGTAGTGTCAGCGATAGCCAGTAAAGCTACCCACAATGTTAATGGCGGACTCAATTATAAGGCCAGGTGACATAGAGTGAATAAAGTCTCTTTACTGCACTCACTCAGAACATACACAGTGACGGTCCAGAAAATACAATCCAAGTCCAACAACAGTCCAGGGTCAATACCGGCAAACAAGGGATCCAAAAGAGAGAGGTCAGAGAGAGAAGTCCAAAGGTCGATACACAGACGCAAACAGATCTAGGAGGGCAAGGCAGTAATGGGTGGTCAAAACAATCCGGGGTCACAACAGGAATCACAAGAAACAAGAACAATGGAAAGTCTGCACGGGAGTCCAGATCAATCTGGCAGGTTACTGGTGGGGGAAGGCTGCTTATAATGGGGTGAAAACAGGCGTAATCAATGAGGAGCAGGTGAAACTAATGTGAGTGTTGAGCTAAAGCTCCTGGCACTCAGGGTGAGCTGGGAACAGGAAGTAGCATCAAAATAAAAGCATGACAGGAAGCAAACAGGACAGAATCATGACAGTTAAATTGGAAAGTGAGACTTGAGACTTGACTGGTACTCTAACTCAGACTCCACACTAGAATCACACTTCAATTTTGTGATGTGTGAACATCTCTGTAAACAATGTCATATGTGGCAATAGTGGACATAAACACAGACCACAGTCATCCTCACTACTGAGAAAGATGTGCACAGAAGGCACTGCAGTTCAATCTCTATGGAAACAAAAACAGCAGTAGAGCGGGGTGGGAATCAGCTGTACGACAAGAAGCTTTGGTCAAAAGCTTTGCCAGAGCTCAGCAGCTTCTCCTCTCTGGTGATGGAGACCTTGAAGGAAACTGAACTCTGCTTTCCACATCTCCTCAATGCCTCCTGTGTGAAGCCAAAGCATCCTCACTTGGAGACAATGCTGAGTTATGTTCTGCTGTCCTCTATTTCTCTGCTCACTCCATTTCTCAACCTGCTGGTCATCATCTCTATCTCTCACTTCAAGTATCCAAATATTTTATCATTTTATGAAAGCAGTAAATCGTCTTTAAAATTCAACAGTTTATGATAAAGGCAATAATCACATGTTTTCAGATTCTGAGGAAAAATGTAATTTTTCCAAAGAGTGTTATTGTTTTTTTCTGAATAATGATGTTGGTGTTATAAATAATGATAAATCTTGCTGGTCTTCTTCTCCAGGCAGCTCCACACGCCAACCAACATCCTCACCCTCTCTCTGGCTGTCTCAGATTTCTTCGTGGGCCTCCTCATGTTGTTTCTAGTTATGTACCTAGACGGCTGCTGGTACCTCGGTGACCTTATGTGTGCTGTGTCACAGTCAGTATCATCCATCATTACCTCGACCTCAGTAGGAAACATGGTGCTCATATCGATTGACCGTTATGTGGCCATTTGTGATCCTCTGCATTACTCCACCAAAGTCACACAAAAAACAATCAAGATTTGGGTTTTTCTGTGTTGGACATGTTCTGTAATCTATCAGTGTGTCCTTTTGACAGTTGAACAACACAGCAGCTATCACTCCTGTTTTGGAGAGTGTATCATTTTCATTAACTACATAGTTGGATTTGTAGATCTTTCTATTTCCTTCATTGCTCCCATTACTGTTATTGTATTTTTGTATATGAGGGTGTTTGTGGTGGCTGTGTCTCAGGCTCGTACCATGAGGTCTCACACTGCAGCTGTCACACTCCAGAGTTCAGTGAAAGTTATTGCCAAAAAATCTGAGCTGAAAGCAGCCAGGACTCTAAGTATTGTTGTAGTTGTGTTTTTGATATGTCTCTGCCCATATTACTGTGTTGGTCTTACAGGCCCAGATAACATGATGAATGCTTCTTCTGCTATCTTTGTGATAGGTCTGTATCATTTTAATGCCTGTGTAAACCCTGTGATCTATGCATTGTTTTACCCCTGGTTTAGAAAATCAGTTAAATTCATTGTCACACTTAAGATACTGCAGCCTGGCTCATGTGAGACCAACATGCTGTAGAGAGACACTATAAATCTAACACTGATGAGTGTTTTCAGGACTGTTTTAGTTGTAGTTGAGGCAGGTTATGCAATTTTCCAGGGTGGAACCAGCTGGAGGAGCATGAAGAGAAATATTTTGAAGCCACTTTAAGATGCCTATGCACTTTTAATAGTTTGTCTCTGCTGTCTGATGCATCACTTACATTGTTAACAAGAATAAAAGAAAACACTGCACTAAATGCCTGATATTGAGAGAGAACAGGAGAGTGTATGAGGACTCTCGACTGGGCTTTTACACACAGTAATATCATCAACCTGCTGCTGCTTATTCTATTCAGTAGTGTGATTGTATCACACTACTGAATCACAATCACACTACTGTGTAAAAGTCACATTTGAGTAACAGATTATTTATATTTCATTTAAAAATCAAAATGTGATCCATACTGGAATAATTCATAATGATACACATCGTATTGTTGTACATGTGCCTTCAGCTCAAATCATGTAGTAGCAACAAAACCTGTAATGATACAGTAATTAATGATCTTGACCCAGGTACTAAAGTAATTGATGTTCTGAAGCAGAGAATCAAAGCATTTGTACTTTTTGTATAAAATAAATTGTTATAAATTCAAATATTTGCTCTTGTAAAAACAACGGTCAAAAACCCATCACCATGCTTCGTTAAGTACAGTAACTGAGTAAATGTACTGTTACTTTCCTCTGCTCACAGCGCTGTGCCTGTTCTAAGTAGTTGTAAAGGATCTGTACTTTACATGAGTACTTAAAATTTCTTCTACTTAATTCTTCAACTTAACTTTATCTTAAAGCAAATATTGTACTTTTGTTAGACCCAGTTTTTTAGTTGAAAGTGTTAGAAATTAATAAATCAGTCAGATAATTATTAGACTTTAATGTGTTATTAATGCAGTTTAGTAAGGTTCAAAGTCTGCTCATGGGTGCTCAGCTTCAAGGTTAGAAGATAATGTTGATTCTGAAAAGTGTACCTTGACATCAGTTGTAATCTTGTATTAATCTTGTTTAAGAATTATGTCTGAATGAATGTTTTAGTTACACATCACATAACAACATACACACACATGGAATTCTTCATTTTGTTATGTCCAGCTGCTCCAAGCATGTGGAGCTCTAGATAAGAGAAGGAGATGTCGGACTGTCTCCAACTCCTGATGTTTTTATATCTTGTTGTGTAAGGGGTTAGCCCAAAATCTTATAAATGTATTAGGCTCTGTGTTTCCAGGGTCTCTCTTCTCCAGCAGCTTGTCTGAGGGAGGGAGCCACCCGGGTTTGTGTTTCTGTAACTTTTATTTGTGGTCTTTTTTAAATAAACCAGCACTAAAACGAAGCAAGTCGGACTTCGTCTTCATTCAGATCTGTTCAATTAAAGAACTGGGGTATAACAAAAGCGCAAGAAAAGAAGACAGAAGAAAACTGTATAAAACCAACAGAAAATTCAAAGTCTGGGCGCATGTAAGGCAAAGCAGCGCTGGGATCAGAGTGACAGAACGTCCACAGGAACTCCGTCCCCAAAGAGCCTCGAGCTATTATCTGTGGTCACATTTATCTTCTTGGGCGGACGCCGCCCCGTACAGAGGTTGGGCTTTATACACATCCTTAATACTATTGGCCCTTGGCGTGAGCAGGCCAACCTCTGCCCGCGCCAGCTTACTGGAATGTGCTAGAAACCAGGTGTGTGAGTGTTGTGATATCAGGCAGTAGCTAACAATGAATACTGGGCAAATGGTTGTCTGCAGCTGCAGACACAAAAGTACTCAAAAGTACAACAAAACAAGGTCGCAAACAAAAACTTGGTTAGCCGAAAAGTCAGTGTCAGCGACATGAACCAAGGACCTGTGGCAATAAACTGACTTAGTCTGAATAATAAGAACAGAGCAAATCTTTATGAATCAGCACGAGGTGTGCCCTGCGAGACTAGCCTGCTCAGGAGCAAACTACAATATGATGATGGTATCAGTGAGTTCTGACAGGACAAATATACACAGTGGCTGATGAATCAGTGAGGAGCCAGTGAAGAGGGTGGGAGCACAAAGGAAAGCTTGGACTGGATGTGAAAACAAAAGGGGGCACATATAGTAGAAAAACAGGAAGCACAATGTCAAAATAAAAGCATGAGAGCAGGAAATGGTGACACACGTTGTGTGGTGATGGTTCAATTCACAATTGAAGCCACAATTCACGTGGCTTTATCTTATACACGTGTGCTGGGTGTTATTGTCATTCACCTGCATCAGCAGATTCATTCTTTGTGTGATGATGGTTCCCGTTCACTTTAATAAGTGATGTGTCTGACTGTGTGGCTGAACACCCCTGAGGTTACATAATTACATTAATTGGTTACAATATGTTCCTTCCAGTTTGGTTTGAATAGAACCTTGTCTTTAAATGTGCAACAAATCTGAAACACCCTTGTCTCTCCATTGATTTTCATCATATTGGTATTGGTTCTTCCAGCAATGCCAGAAGACACTGGAGAGGTGTTGCACCGGCCTCCAATGGTGTCTCTACAGGTTGCTTTCATCAAAGTCACCAGAAGCTACGGAAGGGACTCTAACTTTCTGAGTAAGAAGAGTTACTGGTATCAAAATGAGAGGAAAACTTGGGTCAGTAGATACTGGGATGAGGGGTTTTGAGTTTACAATAGCAGATGCTTCTGCTAAGAAGGTTGCTAATACTTCCTGCGTCAGCTGGTGAGGTGTAATGTCTATGAGCATCATCAAATAGTATGTGTTTCGTCACACCAATTATGCATTCCCAGCTGCCTCCCATGTGTGAAGTGTGAGGTGGGTTGAATATCCACATACAGTTTTTGTCACTTAAGAACTCCTGTATTGCCTGGTTGTTGCAGTGTCTCGAATCAATGCCAAGCTCTTTGTATGCACCCAAGAAGTTGGTTCCACAGTCAGACCTCAACTGTTCCACTGGTCCACGAATGGATAGGAATCACTGTAGGGCATTGATGAAGCTTGAAGAGTGCATCAATTCTAATAGTTCGATGTGTATGGCCCTGATGCTCATACAACTGAAAATGACTGCCCACTGTATACTGTTGGTGTAGTCTCCCGACATGAAGTAACTGTCCAGGGTCCAAATACATTAACCTCCATGTAGGAGAATGGGGGATCAGTGGTCAGGCATTCCACAGGTAGATCCACCATTTTTTGTGTCTCTGTTCTCGACCTGAGCTTGCGACAGGTCACACAGTCATGGATAATGGCACTAATGCACTGCTTCCCACCTATGACCCATAGACAAGCTGACCTCACTGTACCTTCAGTGAAGTGGTGCCCTTGGTGCTGAACCTGTTGGTGGTAATGCCATATCAGCAGGGTCATGATTCTGTCCCGCCTGTTTCCAGTCTCGTGCTTTTATTTTGTCAACTTCCTGTTATAGCCATATCTCAGTTACCGAGTTTTTACTTTAATCAAGCACTCATTGTTTACACCTGTTTTCACCCCATTATAAGCAGCTTTCCCCCCACTGGAAAGGTGCCAGATTGTTCTAGACTCCCATTCAGACTTTCCAGCGTTATTCTTGTTGCCTGTATTTCCTGTTCTGATCCCGGATTGACTTTGACCACCAATTATGATTCTGATTGTTTACTGTGCACCGACCATTGGACTCCCCTTTCTGACCTCTTGCTTTGTATTTCTTGGCTGTGTGAGTTTGCCGGCATTGACCCTGGACTGGTATTATCAACTCGAGTGTGTTTTCTGGACTTTTGTATGGTGTACTATTTACTGTGCTCAGTAAAGAGACGTTATCTGCTACATCTTGTCTGGCATTATAATTGAGTTCATCACTGACATTGTTGACAGCTTTACTCACCAACCCTGACAGTCAGCTGTTGATGACAAGGAATGATGAGCTGTAGCTCCTCTTTGCTGCTCTGATCTCCCTTGTCAGTGTGTTCTTGGCCTGGCTGTACAGAGTCTTGTCCCCACATCTGTATGCCTCCTCTTTGGCACAACAAAGCTGCTTGAGTCTGGCTGTAAACCAGGGCTTGTTGTTGTTGTATGTGGAGAAGGACTTTTTGGGCACACACACATCCTCACAAAAGCTGATATAAGATGTCACAGTGTCAGTGAGTTCGTCCAGGTCTGCAGCTGCAGTCTCAAATACACACCAGTCTGTGCAGTCAAAGCAGGCCTGTAGCTCTGACTTAGCCTCCTCAGCCCAGCTCTTCACTGTTTTGACCACAGGCTTCACACAGCTTTTAGTTTCTGCCTGTAGGTTGGAATAAGATGGACCATACAGTGATCTGAGAGTCCAAGAGGGACAGGGCAATAGGCGTCTTTTATTGTTGTGTAGCAGTGTTCCAGTGTGATTTTGTCCCTGGCGGGACAGGTGACGTGCTGTCTGTATTTGGGCAGTTTGTGGGAGAGATTTGCCCTGTTAAAGTCCTCTAGAACAATGATTGGAGAGTCGGATGTTCTAGCTCCAGGATAGTTATCTGTTCTGCCAGCAGCTGTAGTGTGCTACCGTGGGCCTGTGGTCTTATGTACACTCCCATTAGAATGAAACTGTTAAATTCATGAGGAGAATACAAGGGTTTGCAGTTGATAAAAAGAGTCCCTACATTTGCGTTACATGTCCTCTGTAGCACCGTGACATCTGTGCACCAACCTTCATTTATGTAAAAGCACATTCCACCTCCTCTCATTTTTCTGGACAGCTCCGTAACGCGATCCGCTCTGTACACCTGGAACCCCAGTATTTGTATCGCGTTGTCCACTGTGGAGTCGCTGAGCCACGTCTATGTGAAGCGTGCAAAGTCAGGGTTAGTCCTGTTGACAAGAAGGATTTCATCTATTTTGTTTACCAGGGAGCAGAGATTTGGATTAGGTGGAAAGATGGGAGTGGAGTCTGTGTTCCTCTCTGGTGAAACCTGACTAAAGCGCCCACATGCCATGCCCGCATTTCTTCCAGGTTCTGTAGATGGCAGCTGCACCTCCAATCAGAATGTCCACACAGCAT